TAATGTAATGACAGTACTATCAATTAGTAAATAAAGTCTCGCATTTTATGCTTATTCGCAGTAAAAAAAAAAAAAAATAATAAAATTTATTATGTTTTGAAAAAAACTATATTCAAATTTAGTTTAATATTAATTTTGTTATTATTGATAAGTTTATTATTAAAATAATATATTTTTTGTATAATAATAATCTAAATATTTGAATTTTAACACTAAATAAGATAATGCTTTAACTTTAAAATGAATTATTATTTAATTGACTTTTGCATTTGCTAATCTTTTTTTAATTATTACTTTGTTTTTAAATACATCTTAAGATTATAAGTGTTTCTCTTTTATAGTACTAAAAGATAACTTAGTTTTTTTTCTTTTTAAGTATATTTATTTTACTATAATAATATAAACTTAGTATATATTGTTATAGGGAAAAATAATAGGTAGATGATAGGAAATTATAAGGGTAAGTATATCAAGTATAAACGGTATATCAGATATAAGTAGTATATCAGGTATAATAGATATAATAGATATAAAGTAAAAATGTATATAAGTGACTTGAGAATGGTCAAAAAGTAGAAAGGATGAGAATAGGTACTGTGCAACTGTTAAATAAAAACCATCTTTATTTGATAAACTATTGCCTTGTGATTGACCCCAGCATCACGTAGCTAACGGAATTGTTATGTGTGAAGTAACCATTGAGGACGCAAGATTGACGGACTGATATGCGTCAGTGTTACAAACTCTGGCCAAATTCATACGCCTCTTTTGAGCAGAAACTGCTCCAATCATTACACAGCGTGAGACAGATCGAAGCGACTGACTTGCCGTGATTTCACCACAACAATATTAATTAATTATAAAAAAAAAACTCTTCCCTAATCACGTCCGTTTTGTTAAAAATTTTCCTTTTATGGTAATTTTAAGCAAGAAAAATGTTTTACTCTCTTTATCACAAGTAAGTCTTAGCTCAGGAACTCGAACTTTCAAGACAACTGATGCAGTAAGATAGAACCTCTGATCAAAGTCTACTCAAGTTTGAAAGTCTTGTTTATCTTTCGATTGCATGGGAAAAAGCCTGTGACAGTTCTCTATTTTTTTGTTCTCTTGTATATCTCCTTACTCTTATTTTATCATAAAAACCATCTATATTATCACCATTATACTTGCTAAACCAAATATTTTTCAAAACATATACTCAAACAAAGTTATTAGGTCTATTGTTTGTTTTAATACAATCTTTACACACAACTTTATCATGATAATATTTACTGTACCATTTCAAAATTTCCAAAATTTTTTGTCCAAAAAACTGAAATCAGTTTATCCCTTCCAAATGATCAGCACTCTCCAATCATCCAATTAGATTTCGTCTAAAAATCAAAACAAAAACTGAACCTGTTTAAACTGGTTTTGTATTACAATAACAACAATCACAACAACAACGTTAATCACATCACTACTGACAACTATAACAACAAACAATGTCATGTATACTCTACTATCTATAGTAATCAAGAGTCAGAGAGATGAGACAATGAGTCTATCCAAGAGTTCTCTTGAGAAAATAATTGGTTTTCTATTTATATATTTTATAGTTTACTTTACTTAGTTTTAGTTTTAGTTACATTTACTTTTTTCTCTCTCTCAATTACTATAATTTCTGAATAAGCATACATACTATAGCTGCTTGGTATCATTTGATTAACATACTAGTTTTAAAATATCTTTTCTAGTAGAAGTTAAATGATTACTGTAGACAGGCTAACATTAAATTCATTACAAATCACATGTAAGAGATGTTGTTTTTTTTTAAATATATATCTTATAATATACGAATAAATAAAGAAATAGTGTTTACCTACTCAAAAAAAAAAATAAACTTAGTATATATTTTAAAGATTATATATTGTTTATTATGTAAAGCAAAATAGTATTTATTTAATAAAGTGTATATATATAAAATGAATAATATTTAAAACAAAACTCTAAAGCCTAGACCTTAATCTTTAAAACTTTTTTTTTCAAGTTATATAAATTATTTTATTTATATACCTCCTTAATACATATTTATCCAATATATGTTATTACCAATTATTATATCATTTTATTATCAATATTACTATACCTCCTTAATACATATTTATCCAATATATGTTATTACCAATTATTATATTATTTTATTATCAATATTACTATTATTATATAATACATTACAATATTGTATTTTTATTTTTTTTGTTTTTACAATATTATTTAAATTTAATTTATTTAAGAACAAAAGTTTAAGCTAATATATTAATGCTCTATTAACTTGGCTTAAAAATTTGACTTTATTTAAAAATATTATTACTAAGAAAAAAAACATTATGGAATAATATTTATTTTAATAAATAAAGTTATTATAAATATCAATATTGATTTATTGAAAGTTATCTCTTATTATTATTTGTAGTTAAACTAATCATTTGATTTTTTATTTTTTTAATTATTTTTTAAAAATATTTTTTAAAATAAATTTATAACTGATTTTATTGTCTGAGCAGTCTTATATTTATTATTACTATATAGGTCTTATAGCCAGATTGTTCTTTTAAAATAAATAATATCAGAATAGCTTATTATTAAATTGAAATGGAACTTTAACTGATTTTTATAGAAATAACATCAGATATTATAAAAAAACAATTATTAAACCTACTAATAAAAGTTAATACTATATTATTTTAAGATAGTACAATCCTAATATTTATTAAATCTGTATAGAAATAAATTAGCTTTTTATAAAAATAGCACTTGATATATTATGATTTCAAATATTATTTTGATGCAATTCAATTGCTTTTACTTGAAATTGAACTTGATATTTTGTAATACAAATCTAGAAGTAAAAATTACTGTACTATAGACCTATAGATTTTTGTTTTTGATTTTGCAAAGATATGTGAGAGTAAACTCAATAAATTTTTAATAATGTTATTATTATTTAAATTATTTAAAATAAATAATCTTAAAATCTTTATCATATTAAAATCTATAATGGTTTGCTTTTGCAATTCAAATAATTATAAGATGTTTTTATAAATTCTTTTATGAAAAAATTTTGAATTTACATATCATGATTTTTAAAAAGGAATTTTGCATTTGCACTAATGTTTATTATTGATATTATTATTATTGAACACAAAAGAATTTGTTCTTTATATTATTTAAAAAAAATTTTTATTTTTATTTTTTATTCTAAATATATTAAAAAGTTAAATTCTAATCATGTAAATCGACAAATTCCTAGATTTTTAAAATCATTTATTTATTTATTTATCAAGTATTTTGTTAAATTTAATTCATCTATAATGATAAATACAAATAATTTATGAAAATTTTAGGTTCAATAACCATGACAGTTACAATATTTGAATCTCGTCTTACTCAACTTGCAACATTGACGTTTTTACTCAGAAAATAGGCATATTTATCGAACAGTAATGCTTACACATCTTATAATATTTATAATTAAAATTACATGAGTATTATACAAATATCTATATTGTAGGCTTATTTGATGTTTTTTGTTTTAGAAATTATCTTATAAAATCTTCCATTCACCATAAGCATAAAATACATTTATAATTTACAAATTTCCATTATTTCTATTGTACACCGAGATTTGAGGATAACAGATCGATTTAAACCCGTGTGTTTTTTATGAGTAACGATTTTTTCCTGTACCAAGACTCTTTCATGTGTGCTATATCGTCGTCCGAGTGCCCGAGACTTTTCCAAGTTTTAATTTCCATATCGAGTTCGTCAGGATATAAGAATTCTTTACTACAAAGAGAAATGTCGGTTTCAACGTAAGTTCGATCTTCTACGAAATATGAATTATTAAGGTTAGACAGCTAGAAGTGGGTAATGTATTCAGGGCAAAAGGGATGAATACCAAAATCGCGAATAGGAAGGACAAATTCTCGATAGCTCATCGGATAGAAATATTTCGTGTCTCGACCTTCGTTTTAAAGTTTTTTAAATTAGAATATTGAACTTCGTGTATACAAGGGACATATTCTACTTACGCAAATGCAAACCATTTTTCAATGGAGGATATATGCCAGATACATCCTTTTGAGTCTTGTTAGGTATTTTATTGGGAAGAGGACTATTCTCTGTCTTTGATTTTTTTTCTTTATCTATGTCAAGGTTTTCTATATTTTGAAAATTATCACTGTAAAGGCATTGCACGTAATAACTACAATACTGTATTAGGTCACATCCTTACTTATATTTGGAGGATCCTCTGATGAAGCATTTTTAGATACACTTTCTGATGAATCAGTATCCGGAAAGGGATATTCAGTTGATAATACGTTATTACTCGTCTCAAGGCTTTCTTTAACTATAAAAAATATACAGTATAAAACAAATTAAAAAATGATTATGTCAAGATGGGTCTTTAAAGGAGGTTAAAATTTGAATAATTTCAGGACTGAATAATTAAATCAGGAGTACCTAAATTATCATAAACTCGAGAACTTATCGAGTTTGTTGGATTAAAGTATCTCGTGTTTCGTCCTGTTAGGATTATAGTGGTGTCAGCAGACGTTATCACAGAAAATTTGCATTAAAAAAAATTATGTTACCGTCTATTTCGTCTATTTGCATTCCTATTGGACAAGTGGAATATTTACGTAAGATAGTAAGTTGTATCACGTGAACAGTGGAATATTTACGTAAGATAGTAAGTTGTATCACGTGAACAGTGGAATATTATGTCAGACAAACCTTCCAGCACTGATGAAGCTTTCGTTGGAATATTTACGCTGGATGAAGCTTCCGGTGGAATATTCGGAATATCTACATCGGGTAAATACTCCCGTGGATTATTTGTGTTAGACGAAGCCTTCATCGAAATATCCATTTCGACTGAATATTCCTGTGGAATATTTATGCCAGGTGAAGCCTTCATCAGAACATCTACATCGGGTGAATCTTCCTGTAGAGTATTCACGCCAGATGAAGCCTTCATCGGAACATTTACGCCAGGTAAATCTCCTTGTGGAATATTTATGCTAAGAGAAACCTTTATCGGAATATCTACGCCAGGTAAATCTTCCGAAAGAATATCCAGGTTCGTTCTCTTAGGGCCTCGCTGTCTTCTTTGGAATAATTGGCAGTCTCTGTTTTTATCAATACATCGTAGACAATGACCACCTTCCTCATAGCCTTCACACTTTCTTTTCTCGTTATGACAATGTGTACAGACTTGCTTTGCGTACGGAAACCGACCACCTTCAGTGCTGCCATCCGTTTCGCGATAACTGTCGTAAGTTTGTCCGTCGTATTCTGACCTGTAATCATCCATCTCTTTGGATATCGAGGTGCCCTAGACTTAATTATGCTAGAGATTATAATATTAATGAAGAATTATTCGGTAAAACATATTAATTCAAAATACACCAAAAAATGACAAGTGAGCGGAACGAAAATATTAGATTGATAGCATACATACGAAATATATACTAGATATCAACTTCAATATTTAGATATTATTATGTGAACCAAATCTAGGTGGGGGTTTCCAAAGCAATTTCTCAAATATTAAAAATCCGTATTTATAACTTTGCATGCGGAAAAATTATATGTATGCGCAACCGGAAAGCTTGATATTGTCATACAATGTCATGCCGACTTCTTCTTTTGAGAAAGCATGGTTGGTATGTTACAAAGTAGAAAGGTTTGATGAAATAGTCATGGGATGTTAACAAATTTCTTATTTTCTTTCATCCATGAACATAATCACATTAAGTTGTATTAATTTAGAAATTAGCGATGGGTTCTATTTTCCGGAAACATTATGAGATCTCTTGGAATTTTCTCTGAAAAATTCGTTCATAACATTCCATCTATATTGTAAGGAGAAGAGTTAGTTCTGAAGAAAGACGATGATAATATCCAATTTATTTTGTTTTCAAAAAATAGTCAGATGACAACGATTATATACCCAAAATGTCTAGGCAAAATCACAGTTATGGTTTGAGAAAATGCAGATTCACAACATAAATTCGTAATATTTTTTGTGAAAATATTTTTTCAGAGTAAGCGACCAAGAGTATGACTTCTAATGTGTTTTTATACGTCCAAAAATCAAGAAAAGCATAGATGTAAAACATGTGATATCTACCAATTGCAATTGCAATCAAATTATCTACGGTATGTGTAATAATGTCTGTGGCTTATGTGGTTAAAAACGCTTTTCAAGATAAACATTGTTCAATCAGATCCCTTTTCGAATCGTATGTTTAATAAACTGGTTTGATAATATAATTATTCCAAGTCAAATACTACTTTTAACCGGTTTTTAACGTCGATTAAAACAATTTTTGTTACTATAAAAATACAAACTCCATTTGTAAAAGTAACGAATAATGGTTCTGCGAAAACGATTTTATTTAATTTTTTATACATTATCATTGTTTTGCAAAGACAATTTACCATACAAAGCTATGTTGCGCTCTATACAATTCCGTTAGCGGTTCATACAGTCAATGGCAATAATACAATGCAGTAAAAGCATTACAGTATATAATTGAACGTGGGCTTCGTTTATTATTTAGATCGCAGGGATAGTATGTCCTCCCTTACACACTTGTGCAGGGGGCCTACAATGGTTTTCCGAAAGTTAAGAACCCCTTACATTGATATAAAAGATGCATGCCGCCACACTTACTGTTATGTATACAGTAATATAGATTATTTATTACCGAATTTTTTGATTTTTTTTATCTTGAAGTCGTTTACAAGAAATACCGTATAAATCATTAATTTATGGTACTGTGTATGCGCCACCCATGCAATAATTAACCATATTCGGTATATTTTAACGTTGATTTGTACCATAACTGATTGACTGTATATAATTCTAAGACCACGGTCCTTTCTTGAGATCACACGGACCGGATCGATTAACATTACCAAAAATAGCAATTTTCCATGGTAATCTATTCTCGTGATATTAGAAGTATCGGAAAGAAAGAAACACTACCACATTGGATGTTGTTGATATCGATGCTTTGATCATCTGTAAGATATCTAAAGTTAAAAAAAAGTCATATCAGTTGTATCGAAACATGCAAATAATGTGTATATAGCATATACGTTACTTTTGAATTTTGTTTAAAAATCATAAAATCACCTGAACTGAGCCTACACAATCTAAAATAGGAACTTTACTCAAGAGGTTCTAACCCCTGACTCATTGGGTCCAAATTATGCACATGGAAAATTATTAAGCCATGTAATACGTCGGGTAATCATTGAAACAATCATTAAATGTCAATTTAAGTTCACATCTCTATCAGCAGCTTACTTACACCAGTCAACAGTTTTTCCTACCCGTATTAGCTAAATGCGGAATGCCATTCTTACTCACAAAACAAATGCTTATGTAAAGTGCGCGGGAAAATTGCTCGAGAAATAATAAGTCATTTTTTTATTTAATATTATATTATATACGATAATTATGTAATAGATAATTATTATACAATATTTGATACTTGTAATATTTATAATTTCATTTCTAAGTAAGCTACAAGGCAAACTGGTGCATCGTACACTGCTCAACGAAACATAAGAGAATAATGGACTCTTGGGATCCATTTTTAACTCCATTATTTCAAACGATATCAAGTCAGTTCACATACCATTACCACTACTCATGCAATTCGGTAAGTTGATTTTTAATATCAGGGCACTTAACCTAAACACTAGAATTCCTAGACGAGATGACATTATAGATTACTTGGAAAGGCCAACCGTTATCTTTTACACATTTACCACATTAAGATGTGCTCCATCCAACAGAAGTATATGTCATGTCAGTTCTGCATCTCATTCCAGTACAATATTTGGCAGGGAAGTATCGCTCATTTCGGCAGCCCAGATATACATTTTCCGAACCGTTCCGTTCAAAAAGCGGTGCACAAAGCTGTTGTACAGACTGTAGATAGATATTTACAAAGCCAGTAAACTCTCGATATTCTTTTTCTAACGTTAAAATAAAAATTTCCTCAGATATTACCGCCACATTTGACTTAACGGGCAGTGCAGAAATTTTTGGTTCATTTAACAGACTCCTAACAATTAACCCTTATACATATCATACCTAAGGGCTTAAACAATAAATTCGAAGCTTTAAGTGTTCGTTATATTAAACATGAACTGTGGCCTTTATAAAAATGGAAAAACAAATTTATTTTATTTTTCATATAAATTTTTATATAAATATTTTTAAAGAATATATTTTAAAGATTAAAAAGAAATTTAAAAAAAATAATATTTTTAGCAAAATAATAATTTCAAATATATAAATTATCTTGTAAAAAAATTTCTTATCAATAATCTTTTTTTTTTTCCAGTAGGTAAATATCATTTCTTTATTTATTAGTATATTAATAGATATACAGAGGCCTATCATATTATTGTGGACACTTTTATTTTTTAAATAATAAAAAATTTTATTAATAAATAAAT